CTGTCAGCCCCTGCTACTATTCCTACACAGTACCCACCTATCCTCCAAGTTCCAGATGAAGAATGCGGTCCCATTGGGCTTCAAGATACGCGCGATCTCTTTCATGGTCTCGTCGTATGCTGGGTGAGCCCAGTGGAACGCCTATATTGACGGAGAAGATATACGTCAGTGAATGAGAGGCACGAAAGGCTCGACTATCCGACCTGTGCTATCATAACAGCATCAGCTGATTCACTCTCCTCTCCAGTAGAGATAAATGTGCCATCCTTGAGCGAAATGCGAGAGTCGTCCGTTTTGGAGGCAAACGTGGTACGCATGCCCTCTGAAGGCTCTACCGCACGGAGAGAACCAATAGAGTCCTGCCATTCTGGATGTGCGAGCAGTGTTCTCGTAAATAAGCCAGTTCCAGATGCAACCCTGTAATATTTCAGTAAAATTTCGGGGCTTTACTGTCATAGCTCACTCTATGATATCAAAAGGACCCTTTCCTTCGAGTTTAGACCGAATGAAGTTTAGCGCGGGGGGTGGATAAGTAGGACGAGCCCTGTTTACGGTCTTCTAGGCGCCAATACAGACCCGCAGTTATCCAACGTACCTGTCGTAGAGTTCGTTCGTACCACTTCCAAATCCTAGCTTTGCAGTTTCGTGTACAGTCGACATCTAGGCTTGCAAGGTCAGATGAAGAGATGAGCGGAGAGTATGATGACTCGTACGTTTGCTGATAAATATAAACCATAATTCGGGGGAGCGCGGCCGGTTAGCCTCCCTGCCGATACAGAATTAAATATACACGCATTTGTCGTAGCACCACGTCGTGCGTATCCTAAACTAGACCATGTCCACCACCACCGAGTTCCCGTTCTCGCTCGCTGCAACCAGTGGCAAGCTGGAGTATAACGAGAAAGCATTCAGGCTGGTCAATCAAGGTGAGCAATAGCCAGGAGCCAAGAACCAGATTTCGTCGAAAGCGCGCGCAACAGGCTGATACGGCTAAAAGGCAAAACCTTGTTCCGAGTCGCGCTTTTAAACGTTTTATGGGCTAGACTCGACGATAACAAAAAAGTCACCGTTACTATTCTCGTACCAGCCGGTGAAAGACTGGCCTTGAAAGACCTAGAAGGCGAAATATCTTCGGACGCGGAGGCAGTCAAATCGGCGGAGGAATGGATAACAGGTCTAATGAACCGTGCTTATGCGGGTAAGTTGAATGTTTGTACTATAAATGACCAAGACTGACAAGGTCAGGCATAAAACCGGCTAGAAAATTAAAGGTTCTATTGAATCCAGTCGGAGGCAAGGTAATCTCGAGAGGCACCTTATTATTTCGTTCTTTTGACCTCTATGAGCAGGGTAAAGCCAGACAA